CGGCTCCTCCTGCCCTCGTCCCTCAGGGAGCCCCCAGGTCCCCTTCCCCTGGTGGGGCCGGCCGGGGGCCAAGCGCACCGTCGGGCAGACCCCCTGCCCATCCCGGCGAGGCGGCACCTGTCTCCGGAGCATCTCTTCGGAGCCTCGAAGCCCGCCACGGCCCAGGCGCGCCACGCAGGGGCGCGGCCGTCGGGGCGGTCGCGAAGCAGCGCCCGCCCCAGGGGGAAAAAACAAAAGAGGATAAACGGTCTCTTTTTTAAAGATGATGCCAGCGTCCCAACTTGGCATCCTCGGATGCCGCTCGGTCCTTTGAAGCGAGGAGTTTGATGTTTTCGGCGGACCCGGACTTTGTTACGTGCCCGCACGCGGCCTCGCAGCAAACCCGTCGTCTTTCTACGCACGCTTACACCGTCATAAAGAAAATAATAAGAGCCTCCTTCTAAAGCGTAAATCAAACCAGTTGATTTAAATCTATTGTATTTGTCTGCGGTAGACCGGTCCCTCAACACAATAGCTATTTGAAGGTGCTCTGTAACGTCAGCTCCCAGTAGCAGTAGGTGACCCTCTGATAAATGGAAGCCAACAGACGTTTGGGGTGATTAACACCTTCCAAGCTCGTGCTTTAAGCCCCCGCTTTTGCATGTGCTTACATGTAAGCTTCACTTGATTACCGTGCGTATTGCCACTGAAATACTGCTCAGAGCAGCAAAGTTAAACGTACATAAGCACTGGTAGGATTCATATCTAAATCTCTTCCCCTTACATCTTTCTTTTTCACTGAGAAGATACCACGGGACTTTTTGACAGAGAAGACAACAAGGCTGGCAAAAAGCAAGAGACTGGTTGTTGAATCAACTCTCTCAGTATTTCTTTGTAATTTTGTAAAAGTAGCATGGAAGCTGCTCAGGAATACTGGAACATGAAACTGGAGATATGCAGAGAGATTCACAGTGTAAAAGCTGGGTATTTCAAAAGTGGAGAATAAATGACTAATGTAGTAAGTCTGTCAAGCTTAGTACGTTTCATTGATGTTTTGAAGCTTAATGATGTTGGTTGGCTAAACTTTCATACATTTTTCAACTTATTTTTATGGAAGGCAGTCTGCCTATTTTATTTGTGCTCCATGGTATATTAATTGTCTACTAAACATCCATGGTTTTGATGGTAAAATTCATTATTTTGCTTGTGCACCCATTAAGGCAGGGGCGGGCAATTGTTTCGGGCGGAGGGCTGCTTACTGAGTTTTGATGAGCCATTGAGGGCCACATGACAGCCAGCCAGGGGCAGATAAATATTAATCTTCTAAATTTTTAGAGGCCCCGTAGGCCAGATAGTGGCCTGACGTGTTGCATTCAGCCCCTGGGCTGCATTTTGCCCACCCCTGTGTTAAGGAATAGGTGCTTTAGGGAAGGAAGGAGATCCTGTGGCAACCCAAAGAACGTGTGGTCCTGTAGGCAGCTTTTTGCTGACTGACAGATCACCCCTGCATTTGTGTGGACTCTTTTTGAAGTCAACAGGTCCCCATGTCAATACAGCAATCGATCTGCCTGGATCCGATTTCAGGATCTGGGCCTAAGTTCAAATATGTAACAAGTGAGTATACTACAAAATAGGGGAGAGGAAATGAAAGGTTTGCAATAGTACCAGGAATTTATTTTTAAAGTCTGTAAATAAATGAATAGACAGACCATCTCTCTCCTATCCATCTGGCCCACTAATTTTTTCAAGTCCTTGTGGGTGATAGGAGTTTTTAGGAGGGATGTGAAGGAGGTCAAAAGTGACTCTTGGCAAATTCATTTAATCTTTACCTACTTCTGGGCATTGGGAATGCGCTTATAACACTTGTTTCTTTTCAGTAGGGATATGTCCTCAGCACCAACCACTCCTCCGTCAGTGGATAAAGTAGACGGATTTTCTCGGAAGTCCGTCAGAAAAGCCAGGCAGAAGAGGTCGCAAAGCTCCTCCCAGTTTAGGTCTCAGGGCAAGCCTATTGAATTAACGCCTCTGCCTCTGCTAAAAGGTAAGGCTCAAGATTTTGTGCGCAATTAAAATAAGTTTTTGGGGTTTTTTTTTTTTTTTTACAGTTGACATCAAAATTGTGCTCAAAAGTTTTGTTGTGCCAGAAATTTGAGAGGAAATGTAGCATGCAAGTGAGAAAAGGTGCATGACAAACCAGCTTCTCAAACTCTGCAAAAATGTTGCCATCAGTTGATATCTTTAAAGTGGAAATCTTGCCTCTGTGCAGTATGGTAACTGTTAGCAATACCTGTGGAAGGTCTGGATGCTCATATGAACAGAACCATTTCTTGGGCTCTGCAGGAAGACAGGTTTTGTCTAAGTTTTAACTTTCAACATTTAATTTAATGTGGCACTAGGTTTTTAATGGGTTTCTGAGCAAGCGTGAGGCATATGAATTTGGGTAGGCTCCTAAAATAGGCTTAGCACTCCCTGAATGGGCCGTGTCGCCTCAACTCACTGACTTTTCTTTTTAGTGCAAGTGTGTGAGTGCAGCAACTCCCAGAATCAGGTCCAGAAATACGTCTTTGAATACTACACATTGAAGGGGTTTGTGGCATCACGTGCAAATCTTTTTCATGTCATCAGTCTCTTTTTCATTTATAAGCAAAGAAAATGTCAATACAGATAACTAATGTTGTTGATGCTCTAGTTGATTATTCTGGTCATTGATATTGGACTTAACTAATTCTAGACAATATTGAAGTTAGGAGGCTTAATATTAGGTCTGTTACCTTTTGGATTTGCAGATATGCATTTCCCCCATCTCTTTCCTCTGCCTATCTGATTCATTTGTAATTAGTCAGAGCGTTGAAACATAAAATGGACTTGTAATCATCATTCTGGGGTATTTGTATGCTTCTGTTTCCTTGGAAGATGGAAGAAAAACAGATAGAACATTCCATACCTTTAATTCAAATAAAACCTGGTTGCCAGGTAGGTAAGGATAAATTCAGGGATTTGTTATTAGTGGATGACTACTGAGTTTTCACTTTTGTAACAGTGTCTTTTAGTGGGGCTGATGTAGATTTTGGTATGCTTTCAACAATGTAAGGATTAATTACATTTGCAGCTTGTCACTTTTGACACTTTCCTTTTAAAATTTGTATAGCTTGAGTTCAGAAAAGTGGAAATTCTCAGAAAGTAAACAGTTGTGAGTGACTTTGATCAAAGAATTTGTGATCCCTACTGCCTGAGGCCCTGATCCTGCAAATGCATACAATGTTGTGGCACGTTTTCTGAGCAAGCGTGAGGCATATGAATTTGGGTAGGCTCCTAAAATGTAGGCTCCCCATAATGTATGTTCTGAGCTTGTCTCCTTTGCATAGTCCCATTGAAATCAATGAGGTCACTCAGTAGTAGTAAAGATGAGCCTGTGCGTACATGTTTGGGGCATAAGGCTGCATAAGATGTAACAAACAGATGGAAGGGAACACGGAATATTGGAATGCCACTGTGAGTTACAGTGCCCTGGCTTCCAAATGAAGGATTGGCTCTTACGATTATTTTTCTCCCTTCCACTGACTTCAATGAGGGATTCAACGAGATACAGGGATGTACTTGAGTAGATCAATTTGTGGGCCTAATATCCACACCTTAGTAGTAGTATATATCTTTACTGGAGTACTGTACATCTTTTCCAGATCAACTAGAAACATTGGAATTTTTTTTCTTTTAATTATTAAAGGTATTACCTCAGAATACTAAAGTAATGAGAATATAACCTTAAGAAATTGGAAAATTGTTTTATTTTCCTTGTGCATTTGCCAGGATTCTACATGCAGTCTTTTTTGTGCCGTTTCTCCTGGATAGTTGTTTAAAGTTGTAACCCTAAACAAAAATGTTAGGTTTATACTTAACACATGAATAGTCTCAGTTTCCGATATTGTTTGTAGGGGTGTTTCAAACAGGCACAGAAGAAAGAGAAACACTTTTAGAAATGTCCACTATGAAAGCTGCAAAAATTAGCAGAGGGATTTGGGGGTATGTAGTTCCTAAAATTAGTTCTCATTATTTTGGCTGTATTTCAAGCATAACATTTGTATGCAAAAGGAAAGTTTTCAAGGTTGATAGGCTCAAAATTAAACTTGAGAGTTATTTTTGTGTGTGTGATGGAGGGAGAATTGTGGCTGCAGGTGCACATATGCATAGGATACATCCCTCTGCTCCTTTGTTTAAGCATGTAAGGCATTGACATTTACAGAAAGCTTGTTCTCCAAGAACAGACTTCTTATAAGCCTCAAAACTTTCCTTAATTACAAGAAAGGAGTAAGAAGAACAGCAGGACAGTGTCCATTCTGTTCTTTGTACATTTTTATGGTGCACTCATTACAGTAATACCTGAGTACCTTGGAGTAGTGAAATAAGTGATGTGACTGCACATCTGTCATACATGGTCTATTCTCTCATTCTTTCCCCTGAGGGAAAAGTATGAGCAGTGAAGTGTCTTGTTTTTGTAGGGTTTTAAGTTTGGT